TCTTGCTGAAATTTTTTTGGAGATAAAAATAGAATTTTGCTATTCAACTTATTCTGGTGACATGGGTGATATATTTTGGGCTCTCTACACACAATACATAAGTTTCTAATAAAATAAAAAAGAGATTAATTAGTTCTGCTTTTTGTTTAAAATCATGTGTGAACTAAAAAAGTATACAAATATCTTCATTGGACTTGTTTGCATGTTGGTATTCAATATATATACTAGATGAAGAAGAAATATTACTTTTTTATTACAATATTTACAATCCAATTAATTGATCTTAATTAAAAACTAAGATTGGAGAATGCCCTAAGAAGTTTTGCTTGTTTGACTCAAGGTGACGTCATAGCTATAATATATAATGAAAAGGTATTTAAAGTTTTTTTATGCCTATATAGTTTTAAACTATTTCAGTTATTAGAGATGTTTAAAAATTAAATGTCAAAAGGGGTAATGCTTTTTGCATCTGAACTGGAGCATTCAAGAGAATGAATCCCAGGGAAGACCGGAATTTGATGAATTTAAGATGTTCCCACCCCAATTGCACCCACATCCAATAGCTAACTGTTAAGTTAGAAAAACTAAAGATCTTTGGTCATTGTGCTGACATTAGTTAGGAAAAGTTTAGATCTTTGGTCATTGTGCTGACATTAGTTAGGAAAAGTTAAGATCTTTGGTCATTGTGCTGACATTAGGAAAAGTAAAGATCTTTGGTCATTGTGCTGATCATGACACCTTTAACTATCAATTATAGAATCAGACAAGTTTTACATCTACTCCATGGAATACAAGGTTCAATAAGAGAACCTGCAACCTTGCTTTGAATTTGCTCATTCTAAAATAAAATTTCATTCTCTATGATTAGCCTTATGGGATTTTTCATACCATACATGGGGTTTTGAAGGTCTTAGAGAAGCATCTTTACATCATTTTAAGGTTGCTGGTTTCTTTGACATTTTTAGACAAAATTTAAATACTATAAATTGATGGACATTGGTTTTCTTAAATGTTAATAAAATTCACTGCTTGTTTGTCTCTACAGGTATATGACCTCTGTGTACTAGAAACAAAGCCAGGGAAGGCTGTATCTATCATAGAATGTGACATGAGAGTAAGTTATCTAGTTTGAATTGGTATACTTATCAAACTATTTAGGTGATGTAAAATCATTTTAACAGTTAATTTGTTTATCTTTACCAAATCACTGATTTATCTGGGCGCATTCATTGTCTTTCCAAATTCAAGACAGAAGGAACCATACCAAATATAACTGTAAGATACTTTTGAATATGAGCTACTCCAAATGTTTTATAAGAAAGATTGTTTTCTCTCTGGTATAACACTTAGAACTTGTTGTCTTGTTTGATTCTACAGATGAAGAGAAATTTATATATCTGTTTCATTTTACGTCTCGAGAGACGATCTTTTCCCTTTGCAACTTCTTGTGTGACTAAAGAGGCCAATCCTTGATACACAGCTGCGATCGTAGGTTGGGCATATAATCACCAGGCGCCGTTGCATTTTCACCCTTCTTTCTGCTTCTGTTGTGTATGACATCTGCAATCTTTGACCCTTCCTTTATGCTCTCTCTCCATGTGGATCTATCCAGTGCCACCTCTTCCCAGCTGCCAGTGTCGATTTTGAAGAGCTTCATGTCGCGTTTGCATACATCCGTATAATGTTAAAGTGGGCGACCAGCGGCTCTCCTGCCTTCTATTAGATCGCCATACAGGATGTCCTGTGGTCAACCTACTGGCATTCTACAAACGTGGCCAAGCCAGCCGAGGCGTCTGCTGCTGATAACAGAGCGGATGTCCTGGCACCCTGCTCTTTGTAGGACTTCCTCATTGGTTATCTTATCTTGCCACCTTATTTTAAAGATCCACCTTAGGCATTGGAGGTGGATGACATTCAGCTTTTTTTTCCTGCCATGAGTAGGTTGACCATGTTTCACTTCCGTACAGCAAAGTGCTCAACACACAGGTCCAGTAGACTAGGGCTTTAGTACTGTTAGTCAGCAATATGTTGTCCAAGACTCTTTTCTGCAACCGTGACATGGTGGCCATTGCCTTGGCTATCCTGTTGTTTATGTCTTTATCCAGTAGAGTGTTGTCAAATATGATGTTGTCTTATTTGATTCTACAGATGATGAGAAATTTATATATATATATATATTTATATTTATTTATTTATTTATAGTTCACATTTGTGGACCTTCAAAGACTGCAGTATTACATTACATAACATGACAAATTCAATAATGTTTAAGTGATTGCTATACACAACTGACTTTGTCTGCAGGTAGACTTTGCCCCACCCATTGGTTATATAGAACCAGAACAAGTTCCCAAAAGGACAAGTCATTTTGAAAGTGCAGTTAAGTGTTGTTTACTATCTAGCAAATTCACTTTGTGTTTGTTATTTCTTTTTTTTTTTTTCTTTAATTGCTATTTTCTTTAGGTCTTATAAATTGTAAAATTTAACAGCTAATAATAATATCTCACAGGATACAGAAACAGATACTGCAGATGATATTCAAGCATTTAGAGTAAGACATTTTAAAAACTTTCTTTTATGGTTATATTTTGTGCACTTCATTTCTAAGCATAACAAATGTCCCTGTCAAACTGTCATGACTAGAAAACCTTTGATATACACCCCTAAGTGATGTGTACCAGTATGCAATGTTTTTGCACAAAAGTCCTGGTGATAATTTATAAAACACTTTTATGTAATAATCATTTTGCTTTCATCATCCCCACCCCTAGAAAAGTTTTAAGAATTTTGACTGTTTCATAAATGCATTTGTAGACAACAGATGGCTGCCTTGTTGTCTTGGGACTGTCATTTTAATTAAACTTAAAGGCCACACCCCTGCCATTCTGTGAAGGTTTGGGCTAGGATTCAATCATCTTTAATTCTAAATGAGCATCAGAAACATGCAAAACATGAAAAAAAATATGAAAGGTCAGATTTCTATCTGGACTACGATATAGAACTGAATCCCCCACCCACTTTAATTATGGACAAAGTGTGATAAAAGCGCAGGATGACATCAGTTTTCCTCGTTGGAGATTCATTCAAACACTTTTATGTGAAGTGAATACAAATTGTACATTGTTTCTTTTTGTTTTTGGACATTATTAAAACCCACATACACATAATAATGTGATTGACATAATAAACTGAAGTTCTATATCTAATGGACAAAAGTAACTATTTTTCCATACAGAAATAAAAAGAAGTTAGAACACTAAGCACACATACAAAACAGATGTATCATTCTTTAGAAATGTATCATTAAATAAATGTATAATGTGGCTAAAACATTTTGCACTAAAATGCCCTGCTTCTTGATAAACAATTTTCGTTTAGTTATGTGCAGAGAAAGTAGTGGTAGTGAACATTTTGGTTTAGTAGTATGTTTTGTGCCGAGAAAGTAGTAGTTCAGTGGTTGGTGATTACAATACACTTTGATTCAATTTAGTTTGACAACTACATAGTCCATAATCATTTTGATACTTCTGGAAATTAGGCACTCCAATAGTTGTCATTTCATTTGATTTGCTTTTTTTTTTTCTTTAAAGGTGAGAATTAGTTGTAATTGAATTTGCTCTTTTTTTTTAAACAAAATCTTTCTGCTATTTTAATTTAATTTTCCATTTTGAATAGACGTTCATTTTAGTTGTATTGTCATTTGTAACTTCAACACTCTCTAAACATGAGTAACTTCAGTATCAAACATGTATAGAAACAATACCATCCATTACTTAAGGCTCCCACCCCACCCCAAAAAATGGTTACTAGTGCTCCTTCTTCCTTAAGGCCATTTGAGAATGAAATGCCTGAATCAGCCAGGAAAACCATCCAAGGACTGTTTAAGTTACTGATTGACATGCATGGCCAGATTGACACATGAAATCTTTTTGGAAGTAACATCTGTAATCTATAACAAATTAAAAAAGACATAACTCAAACAAATTCCAAATTGTAGATGAGCCTATGTTTTTACTATCTCAGCCTTTTGGTGGACATGGCAACAGATTGGATGGAAAGAAAAAAGGCACAGAAACAGAATCTAGTTCACAGTCTCAGGCAGTGGCACCAAGAAGGTAAGGGAGATAATGTAGTAGTCCTTAACATAACAAAGAAAGTCATTGAGTCCCACTGCAATAATTTTTGTTTGTTTACATTTTTTGTTTAAAGGGGAATCCCCAACTACAGTTTCAAGCGAGGAACTATAACCTTCCTACGCAATGTCAAGCCAGTAAGTAATGGAAACACAGAGGAAGAAAAAGCATTTGAAGCCTTTTCTGGACAAGGCCAAACATTGAAAAAGAAAAACCGGAGTTAAAAATGTTTTGGAGAAGGGTATTGAGTTTTGTTCTCCTAATGTGATATTCTGCTTTTATCAAACATTTGTAGGAATAAGCTGTTAAAACTGATTTACATTAAGTATTTTGCTAACATTCAGCTTTTAAAGTGCTAATGTCATTTTTCTCTTCAGAAAAACTTAAATAAATTTTTGAAGATGTTTACTGTACTGCTTGATTTTTTTAAAAATTAAAAGTAGCACTGCCTTTAAGCACAAATGGAAAAGGTTGTATAAACTTGCCAGGGCGTTGAATGATACATTCGTACACATACACACAGGAAGTCTCTTTCTTTTACTACTACACTTGCTGAAAAAAAAGTGTAATTGAATTTTGTGTGTGTGATAGCCACTATATGCATGTTCAGGATAAAAGTTCCTTTCAATAATCTCTAGTCAAAATCTTGGTATCTCCGTTGGATCAAGAAGATTTCAATTGAAAAAAAAATAAAAATTTTTTTAAATATTTTTTTAAATAGAAAAACTTGACTAATCAGTTGGATCAAATTTTATTAAAACATGATTTCATGATAGTAATCCAATTGCATTAAAAATTAGTTTCAATCTAAATAAGAGTGAATCTCTTCCCCCCCCCCTCCCTCCTTTAAGTTGGTCAAGAGAAGGACATGGTGCAAGCAACATCAATAACCTAAAGAACAAGTCACATCTACACAAGTTAGTCAAGAGAAGGACATGGTGCAAGCAACATCAATAACCTAAGGAACAAGTCACATCTACACAAGTTAGTCAAGAGAAGGACATGGTGCAAGCAACATCAATAAGCTAAAGAACAAGTCACATCTACACAAATTAGTCAAGAGAAGGATGTGGTTCTAGCAATATCAATAAGCTAAAGAACAAGTCACATCTACACAAGTTAGTCAAGAGAAGGACGTGGTTCTAGCAACGTCAATAACCTAAAGAACAAGTCACATCTACACAAATTAGTCAAGAGAAGGACATAGTGCAAGCAACTTCAATAACCTACACAAATGAAAAAAAAAAATGTTCACTAGTTTCTAACTACTGAGGATGCTGTACAAATTTGTGAATCCAAAGAAAATGTTTTATTAAGGTTAAAAATGACTGTTACCTCCAAACTTTCTTCTCTGTTGAGAAATATGATGTGGGTAATGGTCACATCTGACATGTCAGTCTAGCTTTATAAGCCAGGAGAACAGGACAAATGCCCTAAATACTTCATACATGTAAAGTTCCCCTTTCAGACCTTGCGATCTTTAGGGCAGACGAGTAAAGCTCATCTGTTTCTGTGGCCTAGGGTTAATGAGGGTGTCATGTGGCCAGCATAACAATCAACAGCCTTTACTTTTCCCGAACTAATGTCAGGTACCCATTAGAGCTGGGAGGACTCAGGCACCCTAAATATCCCAAAATTCAAAATACCAGTTTTCACCGAGATCTGAATCTGGAGCCAAGTGCATTACCATTCAGCCAAAGCACCTCCTAATACTTCACACATAATTTATGAAATTGATTCATACATAAGTTATAAATGGCCAATATGTTTACATTAAAAGAGCAGAGCATAGGCCATAAGTATCATGTTGTATCTTGTAACTTGTAGTGACTCTCATCTCAACCCAGGACTTAGTTCTTACCAGGGCACAATGAGTGAGTAACGACTAGCATCAAATATGTGAAGAAATACCAACAACAACAAAAAATACTGGTCAGGGTGGCTGATTGTTTGTTTTAGCCATAAACTTATAATAGAACGCTGGATCAAAAAATTTCAGTAAATACAAATTTTCAAATATGAAACTGAATAAAAGTCTAAAGCAAGTCTTAAATTTTGTTTAGACCAAGTTATACAACATTTTGTTCCTTAACACTAGATACATGTTGTTCACATGGGCCAAATTATGACTATTTCTAAGCCTCTTCTCTTCCATGACTATAACAGTATCGATATAATAATAGTAACTGGTATCATTCAAATATATTTTTAAGTTTGTTGTACTTGCATTGATGTTTATTTCTTTTTACAGTACTAATGTCAATAAATAAAACAAACATCAGATCTACAAATCTCTAATGTGCACACAGGCCTATACTACTATAATGTACACACACACACACATACTTGATAGCAAATCGCCTGTCACTCTTATCACAAATGTTTGCTACAAACAAAGACCCATGAAGAAACAATATTGCAATGCACATTGTGGAAACGTGCACAGGAATATATGGGAGTGAACTAACACAGCCTGGGCTATATATACAATAAAGATTTATGTACATATAACACATTTAAACATTTCACTTAGTGTATTTAATAGTATTAAAATAAATTGTTGCATCATTTAATAATATAAGAAAAAAATACATGTTTATCTTAGTGAAAAATTCATGAACTATACAATTCAGTGAACAAATATCAGCTAGCTTCATAGAATAAAAAGTTTTTAAATGTCCATTGGGTCACATCAAAGAAAAAAATAATAAAGTGAATAAATATTTTAAGCAATTAGTCTACTGTCTGTTGCTTTTAAAGTTGATACTCCATAAGCTCTAATTGAACTAATAACTTTATTTCAATTCCATATTTTAGAAATAAAACTACTCTCTTGCCGTTGCTCCATTAGCATTGTAAAGGACAGCTTTTTTTCATGGTCTAGAAATGGCAATGACTCATAATGATTGAGCCAGATGAGAAATAAATGATGGCCTAATAAATAAACATTTTGGTCACTTTTGTACATGCCTACATACACACAAGCTGACAAAGTGAACATGTAAGGTGAAGTGTAAAAGAAGATCTACCAAAACAAATATATTCAAGAATGATGACGTAGCAGGCCAAAGCATTGACAGCCATTTATTTACTGTGAAATCTATAATTTATGTATGCATATACATAGACATACCTTCATAAAGTTATAAAATCTTCAAAAAAAAGCAAAAGTTATTAGGTTTCTAGTGACATGTATACTTCTGATTGATAAGTGAAGCTGCTCAAACATACAATCGAACATGACTAAACAAAAATGAAATGACCATTCATGAACATGATTTAAACAAAAATGAAATGACCATTCAAGAACATGATTTAAACAAAAATGAAATGACCATTCAAGAACATGATTTAAACAAATATGAAATGGGACATATAAAAACTGAATATAAACCATAATGAAGTATAAAATGAAATAAATTATCCCTAAATAAGTTCCATTATTTAAGTGAGGATTTATTTGAATCATAGAAACAAATAACAGAATCCACCAAGTGATTGGAAAGAAATGGCTCTAGAAAGCTAATCTGGTGTGACTGGAGGCTCAGTGCTGAAGTACGGAGTGGCATCCTTTACCAAAATTGTGTGACAAACATCACACACTTTGGCTGGTCTAAAGTTGGGTCCACTGTTCACAGCTTTATTGGTGCAATCAGAACAAAATATTTTTCCACAATGACGACAATGGTGCTGTAGATTTAAGATTAGAAAATAGTATAGACAATAGATTATTTTGATTTAAAAAACAACTTTGCTTTTAGGGACAGGATGAATAAAATAGTTTTAAAAAATATAAGTTAATTAGAAAATTATTGATCAAAAAATAAATGGATTACCTTGCGTTTGGTGACAGAGAAAGGCTGTCTACAATTGTTGCAGTCCTCAACATCATCCTCATGCTGCCATCGAACTTCATTTTCAGCTTGACGAATTTTTTCTAATTGGATCTGTTTCAATTTCAAATGAAAATATTTTTAAACATGACAAAAGGTAGTTTGTGTTTAAAAAAGAACAAAACAAAAATAACTTATTTGTAACCCCTTCAAGTCATTTGTACTCTATAACAAAAGGGTCAATAAGGGTAGCTTTTTTTTTTTTTCAATAAGAGTTAGTCCCCTTTAATACTTTATTTAAGTCCATGTTAACTGTTGACAATTGCCACTCTCTCTTGAGTCTTTGAGCTGACTAGTGTAGTTTGAACTAAATCTCTATAAAGTTTAACTAATACTTGTGTTGTTGTTCTATTACTGTGTTACTCAAGAGGAGTGTGCCACAGTTAAGGGAAGAGTGTTTCGATAATGAGCTAAGTAGACTTTATTTATTTGTTAGTAATAAGTTGGTTTATGTAAATATTATGTCTACTTAGTCTCTTATCCTCTCCTGTATGTTTTTTTTTATGTAAAAGACATCTTTTGTTTTGATATGAGACAGTAGTGTGTCTCATGGATGACGTCATGTCATGTTAGTGCATGTTTTAGAAATGGTTTATATGTCTAGCTATAAACAAAAGGGCTAGTTTTTGAAATACCATAAATAATCTAATCCCTGTCCATACAAAAGGTTGCTGAGTGAAATGTTTCTCTCTCAAGATGTAAAATTCCAAAGAGAGAAATGTGACAAACAGACAGCTAAAAAACAATAGCATCCTTTCCCTATATTTGGTCACTAAAAACAATTTTTATTAATATCAAGCAAAGAAAATGTCACTAAATTTTCATTTATTAATAAAAAGGTTATCTTTTTTTTCTTACCGGTACTCCAATAAAAAGAGTATATGAAGGATAATCTCTCATATTCTTTAATTGTTTCAGTGCTTGTTGAAGTTGTAGTCTAAGCCAAGCAGGCAAGATATTCAAGATCTTTTCAGAGATAATAACTGAAGTTTTTAATAGTTGCTCACAATGTTAATGACTTCTGCACACTGTTGATCTCATATCTATTTTGGCAGTTAATTTGTATTCCACACTCTCTTGATGTATTGTCAATGCACATCACCAAATCTGCTAGTTTTCTGTTCCTCCCAAAGCATCTATATCTTCCACAAAATTCTAGTCATTTTAAAGATATTATGCTCACAATTCCTTCATGGTCTCGCAGAGTATCTTCCAATCTCCTCTTTAAATAATAATGAAAAAGGAAGGGGCAGCTGTTTTACTCCCAACTTTGGTTTTGAAACATTCCCCTATGTATTCATTTCTGACTGTCTGAATTACTATTATGGTGTTTTTACAGATGTTGAAGTTTTAAAGTCCAAAATGCTCTATGCCTAAATGAAGACTTGGACATGGACCCTCTCACACTGGGCGTCAAGTTGTATTCATTAAAATCTGTCTGCAGTCTCTTTTCAGCTGTTGTTTGCTTGTATCAGGTGTTAAACTTCCTTGTTGGTCTTATGCCGTCATCCAGTTAGATAAGTCTATATTTGATGTTTCTGTAGCAATTGAAGTTTTACAGGGTGGAGTTGCTAGCCCAAGGCTAACCCTGCCCCTTTCTCATCTGGACTATTGAAATTGACAGACATAGTAAAGGTTTTGCTAGTGTTAAAGGTATTTTTAAAAAAGTAACCTAACATTAAGGATTTGTTCAACTGTCCTCCTGCTGTCCATCAGCCTGCCTGCTTTTCCTGATTTTAAATGCTTTTAAAAAAAATTTCAGCAGGACTTTGAAACAGACAGCACCATGGTTTAAACAAATTTGTTGGTTGTTTTTCTTTGATAAAAATAAGACTTAAGTTCTTCCCTAGATGACATATTTTTTAAACATATATGGCTAAGGTGTTTTCTCCAGTCTTTCCTAGTTCAGCATGGATATTCTTTTGCTGAATTACCTGTACTCTTTTTTTTTTAGTAATTAGACTTGGTCCTCTACTTCTGAGAAGGACACCAGGTATCAGGAAATAGACTTGGTCCTCTACTTCCAAGCAGGACATCAGGTATCAGGAAATAGACTTGGTCCTCTACTTTTGAGCAGCAACTTTCAGTATGAATGAGTTTAATCAGTCTCTATAGTACAGAGCAGTACACATCTACAGAATGTTTTCTTCTTGTCAGTATGTAGTAAACATCTTTAGAATTATTTTCTTCTTGTCAGTATGTAGTCCACATCTT